TCATGAAAGAGACAGATAATTTAGGTGAAGAGTTTCCTGTGGAACAGAACTAAAACGGACAGAGAAATGAGACTTTACCTGAAATGCTGCTTATAGTACTGTTGCTCACCTCGTCATATCCAGTGCAGGTGCCCAGGCCGCGGGGGCTGCGGGGTCGGCCCCTGCGAGGAGCGGCCGGGGCTGCCCCGCGCCGGACACAGCCGGTTCCAGCCGGCTCCAACGGCCCCACCGCAGGGCACGGCTGAGCCCCTCAGCTGAGATGGCGGCGCCTCGGGGAAAGCCTGGGTAAGGACGGGCAAAACGCTGCCCGGCAGCCAGGGCTGAGGGGAACAGGGGGAGAAACAGCCCTGCGAGCCCCGAGGGGAGAGCGGGAGGAGGGCAGGAGGTGCTCCAGGAGCCCCGGCAGAGAGAGACCCCCTGGGGCAGGTGTTTCCCTGCGGCCCCGGGAGAGGCCCCGGGGCTGGAGCTGGGAGACGTGTGAGGGGGAAGGAGCCACAGAGAAGAGCTGTTTTGGGCTGACCACAGCCCCAAATTCACCATCCACCTCTGCACCCCTCAGGGAAGGATGTAGAGCAGTCAGGAGTGAAGTTGAAGCTGTGAAGAAGCAGGAGGTGGGAGGAAGTTTTTATTTTAGTGTTTGTCTTTTTGTTTTCCACTAGCTGAATCAATAAGTAAATATTTATTTTAATTTGCCAGAAATGAAGTTCATTATGCCCAAATCAAGTCTGCTTCATCTGTGAATGTAGTTTGGTAAGTGATGTCCCTGTCCATCCAGGCTCAGGATCTTTCTCATTCCTGTTCTTCCTATTTTCTCCCACTGAGGTGTGGAGTGAGCAAGCAGATGGGTGGAGGTTTTTTTGTTGGCCAAAGGTAAACCCACCACGCAGGCAGGGGATGATTTGGAGAACTAAGATTGATGGCAGTCCAGAAATACGCAAATACAGAAATATACCAAGCATAAAAGAGAACAGTTGAAACAAATAAACAGTGCTTGCCAGGGAACAAATGAGTAAAAGTGGAACTGATGAATACATTTGTGTTGCAAACTTGAAGGGTGTGAATTTTTAATCCACAAATCTGAAAATCTGTTCTGCTGTGAACAAAGTGGGCAAAAATATGAAAAACAGCTAGGACAACAGAACCATTGGAAACAAAGCAAAGCGGGATCAATTCATAGGCTGGTTTATACGACAGTATCTGTAGTAGCAGTAGACAGTTTCTATGACTTGTGAAGTCTCCTTTTTTTAATAAGTAAGAGAAGTATTTCATCAAAGGAGAAAACCCTAGGATACTTGAGATATGACTGAAATGATCGTAACATTAATTTAAATCTGAAGTAATTTCTGGACAAACAATGAAGATCTCATCCCTAAAGGTACATTTTCTGAGAGCTCATTCCAGTGGGATTGAGACAGCAATTTTTATTCAAGCCTATAAGCAATAGAGTACATATTATAAATAACATCAAGACCAAAGTTGTACTTCACCAGAATTCAGCTTGAGAGTGAAGGAGCCCCCAGTGAACACATTGTGTAATAGGACCAGTTTTAACAACAACAATTTTAGAATTACATCAATAACATGTATTCTACATTCCTATTAAAGGCATGACTGAAGGTGATGGTGTTACTGCACATTAACATGTGAGTCAATCAGTACATTTCTCCTTGCTTCCAGATGACAGCATGCTGCAGTTGTAAAGGGTATCTTGGATCATCATTCAAAATCCACTCTACTGAGACCAACTAGAGCCTCCTGAGTGCTTTTTGGAATCCTTTGCTTTGTTCAAAAACTACTTCAAAGCTCAAGAAATGTCCCTCTTGAAGAAAGACATTTGCTTCAAAAGTTTTGTGTGTTATATTACAGCCAGTTATTGGGAAAGAGCGGAGAACATTACTATCAATTCCCAGCTCAAGCAAAGACTACTTTTTAGAAGGCTGAGCAAAACCACCAGCCCCTTTTCTCTGGCAGAATTGAAAATGAAAATCCTTACACCTGTAAAGTGGAGGCAAAACTGTTTCCTTACCACAGAGGAACACTCCATGGTTACATAACATGACTAAAATGCTAAGTGCTAAAGTGATTAGGGTCCCAGATATTTAAAGAAAGAAATCTAATTTTCTTAGAAGATTTTCAAATAGAAGAACAAAGCTCCAGCAAATTAAGCATGAAAATAATCCTGCACTGTCCCCACTGTCTAGCAAGATAGATGAATTTATTTATCTTTCACAACACTAATTTCTATGGCTCTCTGCTGGAAAGCTGCAAGAGTGATAGGCAAACAGAAACTGATTCAGCTACTCAGAAGGAACAGAGTATCTGGGAATAGGAAAATTATCTATGTAGGAGGTTTGCCACCAATTTCAATAAATTACACACTAAAAGATAATACCATGAAATGAAAAAGTCCTCTTTAATTAAAAACTCCATTATAAAAAGTACGTATATACATTTAGTTTTACAAAATAAACACAGAAGAGCTGCTAAATAGGCTCAGTGTTGCTAAACCTCTGGAATAAGCTAGTTTTAAAAATGAGGCTTCTAAATTAAATTTAAAGCTTAATGGGGTCACAATTGTCCTCACTAGTTTTAGTCTAAAGAAGTGCAAAAGAGATATGCACCATTTTTGGAAACTACAAGAAAACCATTGATACAAATTAATTGTTACTTCTTTTCCCCTTGGATTGCAAAAAGAAGTGAGACTGTTAGTTTTAAGAATCAACTGAGAGTTCAGGAAGTAATTTACAGAAGCACAGCCTCTTCGTAATTCAGATACATTTAAATAAGGTGTCTGGTCCTTATATAGGCTAAGGGGAGAAAGAGTTTTGTGGTAATCTTCAGAGTACCTAAGAAAGTACCTTGTTCTTGTGCTACTTTTCACTGGACCCTGTCTGCATCCATGGACTAAAAAGGGAATATCAGGAGCTCAATATCATAATTTACAGTCCCAATATAGCTACAGAAAGTGAAGCAAAACAAAGATCAAGTGAGATTTGTGTCTTGTTCAAACTGTAATCAGCAATTTCCTGCATTATTTAGCCAGAGCATTTTTTGCATAGCTAGCATCGGAAAGGATTTTAATAAAGTCCATTGGATTTTTGGATGACTATTGATTTAAATATATTATTTTTTATCTCCTCTTGAGCTTTAATTCTCCTTCTTTGGCATTTTTTATTCTCTATCCAGTGGAACCAGGTAGGGATGTATTATTGAAATGTTTATAACTTCCTCCAGAATAAAGTAAGTAGAGCTAATACAGTAGATATATTTTAACTTCTTCCACACTGCAAACATAATGATGCGACAATACAATTTAATAAAGCTCTGAGAAGATAACAGGGGTGTGTTGCAAGTTGTGTGGTGGATGGAGTGGCCCAAGTGCAGGATTAGGATATAGGAGACTTGATTTCTCTGTTGCTGTTTTACCAAGGGACTTTGATGCACAATGTCAAATGGCTTTTTTACTCTCCCTGGAAGGAAATTGAAGTTAAAGATACCGAGGCCCACCTTAAGTCCTTCATGCTCTTTAATACAGGACTAATGTTGTCATAGTTTTATGATATCCTGAAAAGTTACACACAATTGAAAGATTAGCTTCTGTCTGGAGAAGAATCCCATGTAGCAAACATTGGGCTCTCATGAATAGCTTTTCTTTGTATGTCTTTCTTTAATGAGGGAACAGGCAGCTTGAAGTAACAAGCTGTTTCCAAGAAAATTAATAGGACTGCTCATCCAACTAATTAACTACTCATCTTGGTAAAATCAGGCATCTAAGATTAAAACCTAAATTATTCTCTACATTTTTACTTTTTAAATCAGAACTTTACAGATCTTTTGTCATTTTCCACTATGTTTTAATGCTTTCAGGGAATAAGTAAATTAATGTTTCTATGCCCTTACATCGAAGCTGATATTGTCAAGGTGTTAAGGGACATCTTCATAGAATCCTGTGTACTCATATTTATACTTTTAAACACCTCTAAAGGTGTTAAAATCAGGGACCTGAGATCCCTGTTATAATATTTGGAGAGAAAATGGCGATTTAGCATGAAACTGAGAACACATCTATTAGATGCCTATAGAGGTGGACTGACTTCAGTCAGCAGTAACACACAGGGCTGCTAGATACAGAGCATGGGTTTACAGACTCATCAGCCAGCATCTCTTCCATGTGATAGCATTGCCCCTGCAAAGCTCATTTGCTCCACAATATGGTCTGAGGTACTCAAGCCAAATTAACACATGCCTGGACTCCTCTCTAAGGATCCTGACAGTGGATCCCAACTACTAACACCACACTTCAGAATAGAGGGCAGCTTGTTTCTAACAAGGATGTATTTTCTTCTGAAGCACAGAGTCCTTGTTCCCCACAGCACCTCAAAACAAGGAAGGACTGAATGTTCAAACTGAAGTTCCCTCTTCATCAGGTAAATCTCTCAGGGAACTTTTACTGGTGCTGGCACTGTCAATGTTAATACTGTACCTGCTTCACGGCTGAATAGAGGGTGCTCATCTACCTGGATGCCAGTCTAGCAAATGTATTCAGGACTAACTGATGCTCCAGGGAGCAATTTCAACTTTGCAAAAAGGTACTTTCAGACATAAAGCAATCATCATCTTGGAAAAAAAAAAAAAAAAAAAAAACCCAAACAAAAAACTAAACCCCAAGCATTCAATTTTCTGTGTAGCAGGTGTCTGAAAAATCTTCTTGTAGGCAATAACTCTAACAAAGAGTAGAATTGCTGCTTGTGGAATAGGAGGAAAAAAGTTCAGAATGAATTAATACAACTTGTTGGTTGAAGTAACCTGTATGAAAAATCTGCTTTCTAATTACAGAGAACCTCTAGTCCACTAATAGAGAAGCATATGATCTATTTTAATCTGTATATAATGTAATGGATATCTTTAATTACTTCAACAGAATAAGGAATGGTATCAGCCAATATGTACTGTAAGTCAGGCAAGTTATTTATTTTGCCAGCAGTTGGAACATACAGCTGCTCATGTCTGTTAGTATTTCACATCCATCATTACATTTATTTGCTTACTTACAAACTGGTATGAAGTACTACTTCTCTTTCCAGCCAAATAAATTACAAACTGTAGATATCACAAACATTATACGGAAATATGAATTACACATGAATTGGATATAAGGATGAGAGGGAGGGGAGACAGAAAGAAGTGCTCACTCTTAAAGATTTAAATCACATTCTTCTGAGAAAGAGGATCTGAAGGCTTGGAAGTCTGTGCTGCATGCTGTGTGCACATAGCGTATCCACTCAGTTTAATATTTGCCAGGCAAATCACAATGCCCTCTCAGGCTACAGCAGCATATAATCTCCTTGAATGTTTTCCTGAGCTCCTGACTCCGGAATGCATAGATAAGTGGATCAATGATGGAATTGCACATGATGAGAATGAGGTAGAAGTTAAAGTGGGACATGAAACACACACAGTAAGGGTTGTAGGGGCAGGAGATATAGAAAATCAGGTGCAGGAAAAATGGAGCCCAGCACACAACAAAAACTCCAATCAGGATGGTGAGAGTGATGGCCCCTTTCATGTTGGCCCCTTGGCGAATAGGGCCAGTCCCTGGAAGAACAGCAATCTTTTTTATATGCATCCGAGCCATCATAAACATGTGGACATAGAGGGATGCCATGAGAATGAGCATAGTGAAGAACATGCTAATTAGGCAGATGATGACAACACTGCTGTCAGAGTAAATGATGAACAAAATGCCTGAGACTGTGCAAGCAGCCCAGATGCATGTGATGATGACCCCCACACGCTTAACCGTCATGATATTATGGTACTGGAGGGCATAAAAGATAGTAAAGTACCTGTCCACTGCTATTGAGAGGAGACTGCAAATAGATGCAAGCAAGGAACTGCAAATCACTGAGTCAATGACATTGTCAATGTTTATGGTAAAGCTCTGTGCGTCTGTGTCTGTATTGTTTAGCAGCGTGATGACAATAGTTTCTGATCCATTAGATACACTCACTAGCATGTCAGCCACTGCCAAGCTACAGATGAAGAAGTACATGGGTGAATGGAGGTTCTTGTTCTTGGCTATCGCAACAATGACCAAGACGTTCTCCAGCAAGCTGATAATGCCCAGAGTCACAAACACTTCAGGGGATACAAAGAGTTGCTCGTAGCAGCCTCCTGAGGAATGGCCCTTTGCACTGGGCTCGCTGGCACCCCCGTGCAGTCCATAGCTGTGGTTCCAGAAATGGAGAGACTGGAGTGTCCCACGGTGCTGGGTGAAATTCATCTTATGGAGATCCTCTTTCAGCTTTCTGCTTTTAAAACTACTGCTCCTTTTGCATTCCTTTGAAAACCTTCTTTGGCTTTTCAGCTTGGGAAAAAAGAAAAATAAGCTAGCACCAAGGCAGGCAGCAGTTCAGAACACTTGGACTGCTGTTACAAAATAAGGTTTCAAACTGAGAAATACTGGTTTACTTTCTCACAGATGCAGTTTCTGGTCATCATCACATTTATCTTGGTGATCTATGTCACAGAGTCCCAACAGTCTGTAAATTTGCATCAGATTCTCCCCTATGGTCAGTTCCTGTTTATTTCACTGGTATGCTGCAAGGCTTTTTTGTTCCCTTCCATTAAGAGAGGCAAACATAAAATGCCCAAGTGACTGCTGCAGAGCACTGGTCTCACTGTCAGACAGTACACGCTGGCTGCCTGTTTTATGGTGTGTGGAGGAGAAAAATAATCAGGGCATTCCACGCCTCTGCTTTGCCTTCCAGCCAATGGGGCTCGGGAGCTGCAGAAACTCAAGGAGCTGCTGATTCTGAGCCTCTCTGAAACATCACACGGCACAGTAGATTCAGATGCAGCACGAGCTACCAGTAGCTGCAGGAAAGCAGATGGGCTACCAGAGATTTTTTTCCCGTCTTTAACTTCTCAGAATAGTAGTTTAATACTGATTTTTAATTAGCAATCTTGCAGACTGTACTAGCAATCTTACAGAATTCCTGCAGCTGAACTGATGGCTTTTTATTTTTCAGACTGATTTACTCTTGTCCCTTCTGTGGCACGAATTGTCCTGCCTTGTATATTTAGCAAAATAGGAAAAGGACAAGGAAGTAAGAGAATACTTATTTGCTCTTAGCTCTCTCTCCCAGATCTCCCTTGCACTGCTAAATTTTCTATGCCTTAGTTGTCCATTTGCAAGATGTGTTTTTGCAAGCTTGCATCATACTCTTTAAACTTCTTAGAATTTTTAAGAATTAGAGACCATCTAAGAACCAAAAACAGAACAAAGAGCTGAAGTCACAAATGGCTTAATAAACTGTGCTAAAGAAAGTAGTTTTTCCCAGGTAATAGCCTTCTTCATTGTCTTATTTCCAGGAAGGAAAAGAGTTGATTGCAGAAGCCCTGTCGCCATTAAGAATTAGGAAGTTGGGCAGAAAAATAAAAACTAGTGTTTAGAATAGATGAAGGAAAGCAACGGGAAGAAAAGTTGCAACCTGTAAGAAATGGGGCTCATACAATGGTAATGACACAAAGACATCAATAAATCTCCTAAAAGTCCACCCAGAGGGATGTCCCTGTGCTTACCTGACATGAACTGAAACTCAGGTTGTGTGCAGTCTGCCAGGGAAAGCCCTTGAGAAATAGGAGGAAAAGAATGCCAAATGAATATAAAGAGGCAGGGACAAATGTTGTTTTGCTGTTTCCTCTTCAAGTATTGCAGTTGAGGACTGAAAAACAAATATACTGAACAAAGCCTAAAGTACAGGTGCATTTTCAAGCTATGGAAGCTATAAGAAGGTCAGTCACTACACCTGAGAGTAATGTTTGCAAGGAAGTTGTTTGAACATTTCCAGTCAACTATCAGTAACATTATGGAGGGGTTTATATCTGATGCAAGAGTCTGTTTTCTTCAACCTCTCAAACTTTTTTCATCTTCTGTGCATTAGTTGTTTTTAAAATGAACAGCTATAAGGAGATACAGGGATACAGCATGCACGTGGAAGCACAACTAGCTGTATTCAACATCCCAGTACTGGGGTGAAGCATGATTTTACTTTCACATTTGGATTTGCTATAGATATATGGTTACAAAAACATACATCATAAGAAAAGCCTCAGGCAATTATTTCTGCGCCTTTCATAAACATCCAAGACAAACAAAATAACTTGCAGCACAGGAAATCCCACATTTATCAGTTTGGAAAACATCATTCACTAGCAGCATCCTTGCAATGAAAGAATAGCTTGCTGCTGAGAGGGTGAGATTTACTTTCCTATCAAGACATAATGCAAGACAGGATTCAAAAAGATTTATTATCTAGTTACTGATCCCTGGGTCAGTATATACTAACTCCTGCCACAGACAGGACTTTCATACTTAACCCTTGAGGACATAGCTACAGTGTGAGAGTAGTGACAAAATTTATATAAAGACATGTGGGAGAGCAACATCTCCCCTGGCAAGGCATTTTTCTACACCTGCAGCCAGAAATCCGTAATCTTATCCCGGGTAATCAGCCACTCAGCATCCCTTCATCACCCCATTCCATGCTGAAAGTGCCTGTGGCAAAGGGATCTCCCCTTCACCTACTTTGGTGGAGCTAGAGCAGGAGAGGCTGGCAAGAATAGAGAGAAGCTACTTCCAGAGGATACTGCCCCATTTGCTCTAGCTGTCTGTCTGTCTCTCCCTCTTCTGGCTCCTCCCTTTCTCTGCACATTATCTCTGTTCTCATTCCCATTTATCTTCCCATTTACTATCTTTCTTTACCCAGAAGCTATGCAGACAATGTTCCATGCTTCATTTTTCTCTGGATGTGGTCATAAAAATGCAACATTGGTTATAACAAAGGAAAGAAAAGGACACTTCTGTCCCACCTACAGCCATCACTCACCTCAAAATTTCTACTTATGCTCTGCATTCTTGGGGCAATGTTTTGGTGTGTTAGCCATACATATTTGTGGAATGAGGGTACATGGCTGGAAGCAGTAGATTTATGATAGCTTAGCAACTCAGCTGAAGCACTGAAGGTGCTCTGACTAGAAGGTAAAATAAGTTATATGAGCACTTTTTTAAATGAGCAAAGATGTATGTAAGTCTAAATACTTCTACGGTATAAGATGAATACATGCCTCTGGTTCCCACTTAACAAAAAACAAACCATATAATGTTAAAATCATTCAAAGGATCCTAGCTCTCTCATCCCTGAAAATATGTCAATATTTAAATTTTTTTAGTCATAGATAATAGGTCTGTTGCCTAATATACATTGCCTAACCTGTTTTTTAGGTTTTAAAAACCAAAGCTGAGCCAATATTTATTTCAAAAGTGGTGGCTGGCAAGTTTTTCAGCACCATGGAAAAACAGCCATAGCTGCAGAAAACTATGAACTGGTAACAGTGATATACTAACATGAGTTCTAGATCTTAAGAGAAATAAAATATCAATGAAAATTTGATACCAGCCTCCCCTTTTAACATACAGATGAATCATATGATAAAAAATATTATTTTGACCTGCCTTTTAAAATATGCCAATTTTAAGACTTCTTCCTACACAGTTCCTGCATGTCCTGTGCTCTGTTTCCAGATACTCCCCCACGTCTACCCTCCAGATAGGGTTACAGCCATCTCCACCTCACAACTTTTTAAAAAGCTGAATTATGTTCTGACAGTTTATTTTGAATGTCAGAAGAAAACATTCACTGGAATCAATAATAAGCAGATAAAATCACAATAGTGATACAGGAAGACAAGCAGAGCCCTGAGCAGGCTGGATGGGTCCACTATGGGAGAAAAAGAAAGGTAGAGGAAGTTACACAGGTACTTCCCTGCTCAAAAGCAGAGTCTGAGATCTACTGGAATCCCATGCCCATGTTGCTCAGGCACAGAGATGATATTTACCACTTCAACCGCTATCAGTGGAAACAGAGGAGGGATTGTGAAAAGCTGTGTAGAAGGAGGAGCCAGAGAAGAAGATTATTAACCCTTAATCAATCCCTCTGAGTTGTGCAAGTGCAACAGTACTGTGTAAAGGGTGCTACTGCATTTACATGCACAGGCATAATTGAAAGTTTTTGATACATATGCTCAGATCCAGTTTTTCAGTGCATTCAAAATCTCAAGTCCATAACACAGTAAAAAGACTGTAGCATATTTTAGCTGATTTTGAAATATAAAAAGACCCAAGCAATTAAACTTTGGAAGCTTCTATGAGATTTTAGCCTGCATCATATCTTTATATTACAGCAAAGGCAAATTCTGCCTAACACTCAAAATACTCACCAAAATGTTCAAATAATGCAATGTACTCTTCCATCCTACCCACAGATGTCATGGGAAGAAGCATTTATTTGTTTCTTTGTAGCTCCAGTAATACAGAAGAGAACTGGCACTGGTTTTCAATTAAATAAAGGTGATGATGTCTCTTGCAGATATCAAAGAGGATCCACATGGTAGGAGGTCACTAGTTCTGCGGTATATAACTTGAGATGTCTATGTGTAATGTTACTTCACAGAAAAATACATGATTGTGGACCAAATAAATTATTATTCTTTGTGCTTGTACAAACAAATTCAAAGAAGTAATGAATCAGTGGGGGACTTAGTCAAGAATAAATTTGGTAGTCAAGCTTCTATTCAGAGCCACAGAAATATTGGTTGGATTGGACTTCTGGAAGCCATCTCATCCATCTTCTGCTTTGAATGGGGTTGCCACCAAGAGTGGAATAGATCAGCAGTGTCTTTGTCTAGCCAAATCCTGAAAACTTCCAAGAATGGAGTTCCTACAGACTTCCCGGGCAACCTGCTCCTGTTCTGAATTCTTTTCTAGTTAAGAAGTTTGTCCTAATCTGAATCCCCCAAGACATGACTACAGGCACTGCAGGAGAGGCAGAGGGAGCTGGACTGGTAAAGGCTGTTGATGAGGAGGCTAAGGGGTGGTCTAATGCTAGATGAATCTAATTTAATAGTTCATGAAACAGAAGGTACAAAGTTTATAGGTCCAAGCTCCTCTTGGTAGTGCCAGGGAATGTAACAAGAAGCAGTAGTCACAGACTGTGGTTTGGGTATGTAACTTAAGTTCCTGCCCATTGTGACAGCCCTTTGATGAACCATCTTCTGTTTCTTCACATACCTCTTGAAGTGCAGGGGTCCAGAGTTTAATACTGTTCTGGGTACAGCCTCACCCATGCCAAGTAGAGTGGGATAATAACCTACTTCAGTCTGTCAGCTGTGCTTCCCTGAGAGCCTGCTTTGCCCCATTTGCAATGATAGTGCACTTTTGGCTCATATTCAGGTTGACATTCAACATAACCCCTCTGCTGTCCTTTTCAGCAAATCTGCTACTCAGGCAGTCAGTGCCTGTTGTATACTGATGTGTGGGACTATTTCACCCCATGCAAAGAGCTTTGTACTTGTTCACCATAAATTTTCTGTTGGCCCAACACTCATGTCTCCCAACATCCCTCTGGATCGAATCTCTGCTGTTTAGTATGTCCACCATTCACCCCCTCAACTTACTACAATTTGCAAATTTGTAGATGGTACATTTTGTGCTAACATCCACGTTGATGGAGATATGAAACAATCATTACAAGTAAAGACCCCAGGGTACTCCATTTGTTCCCAGCTATCAGCTGGACTGTTGCCCAGTGTTCAATACATTGATCACTATCTTTTGAAACCATTAGTCCAAGCAGGTTTCAACCCACCTGTGACATGCAAATGAAAACACTAGTCAGTGGAAAACTGATCTAATACATTTTCATCTAGCCTTTTTTTTTTTTTTTTTTTTGCTCATTGCTGTAT